AAGTGTATCACAGCTCAGGAAAAAAAAGCACCGAAATGTGCGCTGCTTTTCGGTCTGGTTACTACCGTTTATGTCAGACCGATACCGGTACCCATCCCTACACTGCCGTTATGGTGATATTTGGTAAAAGTGGTTCTGTTCTGTGGTTGAGGATTGGCTGTTTCTGGAAGAGATGTTTTTCATAATAAAACTCCATCCAGCTTCACTGTTCTGCAGAAACTCCAGACTGGAAGAAGCGGATTCCCAAGTTTCAGTCCTGAGTTTTGGAAGAACAGACACAGCATGCCAGGCACATTTTATAGAGCAAGATACTCTAAAAGCAACTACAACAATTAAAAAATTTTGGGTGCCGCTCAGAGAGGGGAAAAGGCAGTATTTTTAGGTCTGTGTGATTGAGAGGCAGACCCCACAGGAGCCATAACTTAATAAAAATGACTCCTGGGTTTCTTGAAGTGGTTGCGGTGGAGCGTTTTTGTGCAGGAGACTGTTTGCTTCTCTTCTTTGGAGTTTAAACTTTGTCTTGTGAGCCAGTTATTGTTTTATACGGCTGAGAAGCTGCAGTTTGGCTTATCTCAGCTGCTTTTCCATTTTCCATCCCAGCCCTGACAGTAAAATTTTATCCTGCATGTTAGTTTTAATGTGTTCTTGCTCTAGTGCATCCTCTTTGTGCTGATTTCTCTAGTTGCACTCCTGTTTGATGCAAACACCACATGCTCATGACTGGAAGCGTCATCCTTCATCTGGAAATTGATTCAGCACATTCAGAGTTCAGTTTGTTGAGTCATCACGCCGATTTGTACAAGTCACCGAATCTCTTTGCTTTTCTGCACCAACATGACAGATTTGCTGCTGTAAATCTCAGAAATGAGCCCTGAATTTTTTGTTTTCTCCTTCCTGCTTCACAATAAGGCAACACGTATCCCTGCAGGCATTATGGGATTTATTTCCTGCTAGTGTGTCCTTAGGCCTCTCGGGCCACAACCTCAGTGGATGTAACATTACAAGGCGAACTCCCAACTCTTGAGCCACGATCGCTCCAGGATACAGGTTCTCTCAGTAAAACATCAGCTGCTGGCCTTCAGTTTCCTCTCTAGAGAAAGTGTAAAGAGCTCAGAGTAGATCTGCTGCTCCTTGGTCACCTGACAAGGATGCCTACTAAGTGAGGCATTTTAGGCGTGTTCAGCCGGGAGGTGGCCCAGGACAAGCTGGAAGGCTCTGTGCCCCGACCCCAGAACAGCTGAGGTTATCGAACTCTTTGCTAAAACTGCTGCTAAGACAGAAATGTTGACTCTGAAAATGTTTTTAGCATTTTTGCAGTGTCTCTTTTCTATCAGATGTTTATTTTTGATCACACGTTTAGTTTGAGATGTAGTTACAAGACAGGAACACTAGAGGGTGCTCAGCTAACAGTAACTGTGGTCACCTTCTACTGTTCAGTTAGTGCAGGGGTGCGGGGACTCCAGGCCTCAAGTTCTGATGTCCTGCAGGTTTTAGATGTGTCCTTGATCCAGCACAGCTGATTTAAATGGCTAAATGACCTCCTCAACATGTCTTGAAGTTCTCCAGAAGCCTGGTAATGAACTAATCATTTGATTCTGGTGTGTTGACCTGGGGTGAGATCTAAAACCTTGAGGCCTGGACTTCCCCCGCCCCTGAGTTAGCTGCTCACTGCAGCTTCACTTGCAGATTAACTAGCATGTAGTAGGTCTGCAGCACAGACGCTGTAGATGTTGTTTGTTAAAGAGAAATGTGCCGCTCACTGAGTGTCCTGCTTGAGTCATGATGATACACAGTAAAGCTGACTAATAACAAAAAATGTTGATCGCTAACATTGAATTTGACTCGTGTTAGTTTAATAAGATGTAACCAAGTTAAAGTTGTAGCTGTTAAGCATTTAAAGCAAAGGGTAAACCAGCTGTCTGGTTAAAGTGGTATATTCACATCGTTTTAATTCTTGAAAAGTCTTTGAAAGACTAAATCTGAGTTTTGAAATAGTGGAGTGGTGCAGGGTTAGGTTTAGACAGGAGTTTGTTAGTTCTGAACAGATAGGGGTGCTAGCTCACTTTGTGCATTATTAAATTGAATCCCATCCTGGTTCGCTATCACAGTAGCCGGTTCTAATAGGTTTTCTGGCAGAAACCTCAATGATTGATAATAAGAGTTTATCAGGTGCTGTTCGCGCATATACTGCGTTGTGCTTCGTATCCCCCCCCCCCCACACACACACACACACACACACACACACAGGATCCATGTTTGACATTGTTTCATTGACCGTGTCCCAAGGTGAGGAACGGACAAACTGTCCATCCAAAGCAACGTTCCCGAGGTTGAAACTTTGGCAGTGTGTAAACTGTGGTAAAGGGTCCTGACGTTATTTCATCAAACCCCACTTCAGCTCTGGGTTTGGTTTCCATGAATGTGTTTACACGTTCGACATTTCAGGAATATTTGGCGGCAGCGGGAATTTTTCTCAGTGACTCAACAAGGATTTTATAAACTCCCTTGAATGTTTCCCAACAACACGCTGATTGATCTCATCAACCAGAGAGGCAAAGTTCAGCTTTCTGGCAGCTGTGCAATAGGTAATAGTAAAATAAGAGAAAATGCATATTTTAAGATTTTTTTAAAAAAAAATATTCCAATGTAAATTATTGAGTTTTTAAATATATGACGTGGGCTGAGAATTGCCCTCATTGAGCATAAATGTTCTTTATGGCAATGACTGCAGTTCCGTAAATGACCACTCGAGGCAGGCTGTAGAAGTAAGTCAGTCCTCCCCATACAGCCCTATATTAAAGTGTCCAGCTTTACAGCAGAAACAGAGAAGTGCTGCAGACGCAGTTTTGGCCAAAGGGGACAGGTTTCTTCTTTCATAACTCTGTTTGTTTGTTTGTTTGTTTGTTTGTTTGTTTGTTTGTTTGTTTGTTTGTTTGTTTGTTTGTTTTAAATAAACCGTCATGTTGGAAGTGGTGAAACTGCTGTGATTGACACAAGCAGCTGTAAGCCTCACTTCTGCTAATTGCAGTCAGAGTGTTGATGTTGAAGGGGTCCCGTCTTTTGTCTTTTATGCCTTCTTTCTCAGTGACTGTGATCAGAAAGTGTCCGATGCTCGTCGGAGTGAAAACTAATTCATCTCATTTTCATTTCCAAAGTGTACTGTTGTAATGGGCTTAGGGAAGTCATTTATAATGTTAAAAACAATAAGACAGCAGTGATATTTAAAAATGATATGTTATACTTTGATTCTGGCCTTTTTTTTTTAATCTTAAACTCATCTAAGAGTCAGTAATACAAAAAAGTTTAAATGAATCGGTGACAACACTAATAAGTAAAAACTTGATGTTATGCTCATGTGTTCATAGGTTTGAGTAGGCCACAGGAGATTCTCAGATTTCATAACGAGCTGTGGTCGTCTTTTTTTTTTTTTTTTTTTTTTTTTTGTTAGGATGTTTTGCTCCAAGGAGTCTTCTCTTAAGACCCAGCGCTTGTGTAACTTTATGTATGAAACGTGTGTGTGTGTGTGTGTGTGTGTGCAGCCCCAAAGGTCAAACGTACACGTGGAGTTACGGGAAGACGCAAGTGGTCGTGCAGCACTCACTGATTTGTCAGGGTGGAGTCACTTTACTGTAAACACAGTTGCACAGGTCACAGTTTACACTGAGG